ATCGCAAATGTGAAGATCTCTCTATATAAAAAAACTAATTTCATATCATTCACTAAACATCGATTTTTGTGAGGTAGAAAGATTTTCAATGATATCTCATTTTATGATTTTTTTTAAAAAAATTTGTTAACGTATTATCCATGATATGATCGTATAAATGTGAGATTTTAAGTTTGAGGATGAAGAAATGATTTTTTTTATTGGAGTATTAACTCAGGATGAAATTAACTTATTTCTAGACTTAGCATCTATGGTGTATGAATGATATTTTAAAATGAAAATTATTGTTTTGAATCTGTTCAAAAAGAAAATATGTATTTATGAAAGTTTGTTATATTTTTGTTTGACATTTAAGGTAGATTATGATATATTTTTAAAACTTGACTTAGGTGATGATACCTTATTGTATCCAGCATGTTATGGTCGGAGCGTATTGATTTTATTAAAGAGTTGGAAAAATAACTTGTCTAATTTCAACTATTTATGTATGAAGTTTATATACATGCGATAACAGTACAAGCAACAATTGATAGATAAAAATACTTTGATTATATATGACTAAAATTCAACCATTTTTTTTTAAAACTTCAGTTATAAATGCATAAACATCACTCGTATGCAGTATTAGACAATAGACGTACCAAAACCTAATGTCAAATAAAGTGTCTAAAATGTGCATACAATATACATTAAAAAAATATAAATTAAATAATAATGTCAAAATAATCTACCTCACAAAATGTTTCGATTTTATATCAAAAGTCACTTTTATAAAAGAAAAGAAGCCTCACGATGCAAGGCCCAAACCAAAAGACATGATTGCAAAGCCCAATTAAAATGTGAAGATGTTTTCTTTAGAAAGCCCAAAAAGGGGGAAAGTTGAAGATTTTTTCTTTCCGTTCAAGAAAATATTTTACATTTTGTTTGGATTATTGTTATCTATTGTTTCATAATGTATTGTATCGTAATGTATGGTAGATACAATGTTTGGTTAGATTGTATTGTTTGTTTTGTTTAGTAACATTTTAATTGTTTGGTTTGACTGTATCATACAGTAATGTAATTTATAAATATCCTTAATTATTTCAGGGTAGGAGGTTTGACTAGGTTTAAATAATTAAGGTAAAGGGTAAAATAGTATTTTGAAATATTATGTAAAGATTAAGAAACTAGTAACAATGGGAACACACCAAATTAGTTGTTTCATAAAATAGGGATTTCCATTGTTACGTAACAACGAAATTTAACAATACAGTACAATATATTTTAAGTAACAATCAAAACAACCATTGTAGGTATAATAACGATACAATACAATACAATTGATAACAATGATCCAAACAAGTGTTAGGGTCACTTGCACTTTTACCCATATTTTGTGTTAGGTTTTTAATTTATGCCTTCGTGACAAATATTTTTTTTTTTGTCCTAAGTTATGTGATACTTTGCAAATTTTGAGATTTCAATAATTTTATATATTTTTAAAAGAAAAAAGGTCTTAAATATATTCGAAGCTTGACCACAATTGTTGCTACAATACAAACTTCATGCATGATCTTTTACCCCTTGCACTATTTAATAAATGTATTTTAAAGATATATATGTGTCCACGTGAACATCATAAATATTGCATCATTTTGAAAAGTAATGTGTCCACGTGGGCACATATATATCTTTAAAATATACTTTTAAAAAGTGCATGAGGTAAAAGGTTCTCCATAAAATTTGATATCGAAACAACTATTTTGGCCAATGTTGAAGTATTTTTCCGACCATTTTCCCTCTTTCAAATATCAATTATAATGTCTTATAGTATTTATACGTAGTTTTCAAATATGTAAAATTTACTTTGATAAATTTACATATTACATGTCTAATTTCACAGATATAACTAAATCATTCAACTCTCAAAAATTTAATTATGTCATACAAATTGAGACAAATAAAATAATTTTTAGGAGGACATAAGTACATATTCATATCATCATATCCAAAAATTATAGAGTTCACTAAACATAAGATCAATTGCTAAATTCTTTTTTTAAAATTTAAAATCAAATTATTTAAAATATATAATATATAGTTTTATAGATAATTTAGGGAATTGGAATATCATGGAAGCCTAAAAAAAGAGAAGGCCATACATTAAAGATGAGGAAGTTGAGGTCCACATAAAATCAGTAAAAACCCAATGTTTGACAAAATTTTAAAAAGCAAATGGAATATACTCTAAAAAAAAAAAAAAAGGGTTTTGTGGGGAATTAAAATCCCTCAAGATATTATAAAAATTTTTTTTTAAAAAAAGTAACTTAGTCAGACCAAAAATATTATCATTTATCATCATTCCATCCAAAGCCTGCAGTTACAACCAAACAAATATGCAATTCAAATTATTCAGTAAGTTTGTGAAATTAAATTGTATTTTTAAATACTGATTCAGAATTTTTATTAAGTAGGTTAGAAAAATAAATATGATATATCTATTTAAAAATGAATTATGAAGTCCCTAAATTACTAAGGTAACTTTCAGTCTTATGCTTAGGTATTTAAATCCTATATATTCACTAAAATTTTGAAAAAAAAATACTTTATATAAATAGTTAATTTTTTATCAAAAGGGTTCAGGTGAATACTCTCGCCCCATCCTAAATCCATCACAACCACTCTATCTTGTTATACTTTGTTCGATTTTCAAAATTTTCAAAGTAAAAAAAAAACTATTTATTTCAAAGAATTAAAGACGTTGAACATGTTTTTAATAAGAAAAAAAAATGATTCATAAATTAGCATGCAAAATTGTTTTTTTTTAATACTATATTTTTCCTAAATGCACTTTTTAAATATTGACTAAATAGTTACTAATAAAATTTATGCTTAAACTAAATCCAAAACTTCAGTATGTGTAAAATAATAAATTAAGTGTTAGTGAAAAAAAACTTACAAGATAATAAAATTGCAAGATTACAATTGAAAATAAAATGAAGAAAGTAATCTCTTCAGGCTGAGGCGCGGATATCTCGCTCTCTTTAAGGAGATTCAAGCCCACTGCAGCAAATGTTTTCACCGGTCCAGCAGTAGTCCTCTTTGACTTGTCCCCTCCAGGATACAACAGCCTTTACAAAGTATAACTCAACAACTCTGGACAGGAGTTGAGTCCAAAGCTCCACAAAAAAAGAACACCTCCCTTCAACTAATAAGAACTCTCTTTAGACTAACTCTTTCACTCTTTGTTTTCTCTTATGAATTGTGTGTCTCTAAAACCAAATGAAGACTACCACTATTTATACTACGAGATAGTAAATAGTGAAGATAATGACCTTAGGAGTTACATAGGTTACAATAGGAGTTACATAGGTTACAATGGGAGTTACATATGTTACAAAGGGAGTTACATATGTTACATAGGTTACAAAGGAAGTAATGGAGGAATTAAGAATGAAATACATTGATGGATAACCAATGCTAATAGATGATGTAGAAGTCATCCATTCTTATAACTTCAAAATAAAGCAATTTAATAGGTTAAATATTAATATTAAAATGCTAATAACCTAACTTAAGTTTGTCCTACTACCTCATTAGGCTTTAGTTCATGTCAAATTCAAACTCCTAATGTGCATTTAATTCACAAGTCACATTTTTTTTTCCATTTCAAAACAAAGTTATAAATTTTATTTTTGAAGTTAGGCATTTTTTCTTCTACAAGTAGACTTTCGACATATACATTGGAAATTTGGTTTGTCATTAATGTTTTTTTTGGTTTGTTATTAATGTTTTCTAAGGCCCAACCTCTACTTTCTTTATTTTATTTTAGTTGTCATACTATATTTTACGAAAATGGATTTTGACTAATTCTGAAGTTAAATTAGATCATATTGATTTGATATTTTTTTTAAAAAAAAGAATTAAATATTCAAAAATATATTAAAAGATATTATAAGTTACAACTTTTTACAAATTAATATTATGAAAGAATATATCGTAACATGTAAGTTAAAGTTTTTAATATTTGATTTAAAAAAGAAATCATAATAATTAAAATTGGACGAAGAAAGTATATGCATGCGTTTTTTAATATTAAGACACATATGTTCAAAATGAAGAATAATTTTTTTGAAGTTATTATTTGATTTAAATTCACTTTTTATATTTGAAATTCATCTCACTTCTTCAAAACTTATATAACACTTAGAAGTGTACCCTTTTGTGGTGTTTTGTCAAAATTTCTAACCAATGAGAAAATTCTATGTTCATTCCTTAATAGTTCAATCTTTTTTTTTTATAACACACTCACTAAGTAAATAAAATTACTATAGATCATGATTTCTATAATTAAAAACATTCAGAAAATATTTAAAAATAATAGGCCATTATATATACTCTTTCTAGTTCATATTAAAAGTGAATGATATGGATTTGATACATTTATCGAAAAAATATTTAAGAACATAAATAAAAAGTTATATTTTACTATTATCTTTTTGATTATTTTCGAATTATTCTATTAGAAAAAGAAACATAATTAACAATCTCATTAAATTAAGAATAAATATTAGCAAAAAGTGTTAATAATATTCTAAAATTTCGAAAAATTTACTTATTTTGAACTATATTTTTTATTCATTAATTTACAATATGAAGTAAAAAAGTATCTTTTTTGGTGTTTAATATAATTTCTTTTGTAATAAATAATCTGTGAAATTTAACAGACATTTCTAGTATTTTTAGTTAATTCTTTTTCTTCCACATTTTCTACAAGTAATCAAAATTAATTGAAATCATATACTTTATTTAATTAATAATATAATTAATCATTTTACTAATGATAAATTTCATAATTTTATACCTCAAATTTTATAATCTCAATATATCTTATATTATATTGAATATGAAATTTTTTTTATTGAAAACGTCATTCTCAAATATAGTTTATAATGCATAGTTTAAATTTAATTAACGTGTATCAAATAAAAATTTCGAATAATTTAATTCACGAACCGAAATACCCGAAAAATCTCAAAAACCCCAAAGCCCATAGTGTGCCAATACCAAAATGCAGCTAGTAGTATAAACCTTATCGTCTACTCTTATCTCACAAGAACCAAACCCCTCTTTGTTCTCTCCACAGAGAACTTTGTTATCTTTACACTTTTTTCAATTCTTCACAGTTGAGTAGCGGAGTTGTTGTTGTTTGTTGGGCGCCATGGATTCTGAAGAAGCGACGTTTTCGCCTCCTGCTGTTTCTTCTTCTCCAGGTTCTTCTCCCATCAACAATTCTTCTTCTAATCATACTGAAACTGAAAATGTCTCCAAAATTAATGTAGAAATCAATGATTCCGATATTAATAGTAATAGCAATAGTGAGGGTAAAAGCGCTAGTGATGTAACTATTGTGGGTGGTCAGCAAGAATTGCCAATTCCTGCTGACCCAGATGAGGGAACCCTAGAAAAAACTATTGGGGAAGAGAAGTTGGATGATTCCGTTGTGGGTTCTGCGGAAATTGAGAAGCCTGTTTCTGAGGTTTCTATGAGTGAGGGTGTTGAAAATGTTGAGGCTTTAGGGGGAGATGTTGGTGGTTCTGTTCCTGTTATTGGGAATAGTTTACCTGATTCTACTGACTCTGATGCTACCAAATCACTGGGGACGGGAATCGAGGGTTCGGAGGGTAATACTGAAGAGTTTGACTCGGTTGATAAGTTGAATTCAATTGAGCAGGTGAAAGATAATGGTGGTGAGGTTGCGGTTGGTGCAGGATTGAAAGAGGGTGAGGATAGGTCCACTCAGGAGGAGGTGAAGGAAACTGTGGAGGATGAAAAGATGGAACCGAAAGAGGGCGGGGATAGGTCTATCGAGGAGGAGGTGAAGGAGACTGTGGAGGATGAAAAGATAGAATTGCAAGGGGGTGAGGATAGGTCCATTCAGGAGGAGGTGAAGGAGATTGTGGAGGATGAAAAGAATGAAGCTTTAACTAGTGTTGCTTCATCTAATTTAAAGGAGGCTGAGGAACCTACCTCGGTCATCGAAGAGAGTGCTATTGCTTCATCCAATTTGAAAGAGTCTGAGGAACCTACCTCGGTCTTTGAAGAGGTTGCTATTGCTTCATCCAATTTGAAGGAGGCCGAAGAACCTACCTCGGTCATTGAAGAGAGAGCTATACATAGTGATGATGCCGAAAAACTCAATAAGGTGGTTGTTGAACAACCGTCGGAATCTTTGTTGGCTGAAACAGGTAGTAAGAAATTTACTTCCGAAGGAGATGCAGTTGTGGATGCTATTGAAGTCAATGTCTCAGGGCCAGGGGTTGCTGTTGTTGGAGATGTGGACGAGAGCAAGGAAGTGGAAGAACATATTGAAGGTACCCATGATGAAAATGTGACATCAGTAAATGATGTTGGTGAGACCAGACAACTTATTGAAGAAGTGGCTAAAATGACAGTTGATGAAGTAGATGCACAGAACCCTAAGCCTGTGGTGGATGATACTGTTGCAACTGCAGAATCAAAGCCTGTGGATAACATTGTTGGTGCTGGAAAACTTGATTCTGGAGTTGTTCAGACTGGTGATGTGGTAGCTGTTACTGAGGAAATTAAAGAAGCTGATCCTGAAACTGTTAATAAAAGTCTGGACACCAAGGATGTTGAAGTGGAACCTGAGCAGGCAGTGTCTGGAACTATATATGCCAATGGTGACCATTCCGGAGAAAGCGTCGAGCGAGATGTAGTGGAAGTTGAAGTCTCTGGTCAAACATCTGCTATATCAAGGTCAATCACTGGCTCAGAGCAAGAAGGAGAAGCTAAAGATCATATAGATGAAGAAGCTAACCTTGAAGGCTCAGTTTCAGATGGAGAGACAGATGGTATGATTTTTGGAAGCTCTGAAGCTGCCAAACAGTTTATGGAGGAGCTGGAAAGGGAATCTGGTGGTGGCTCCTATGCTGGTGCTGAGGTTTCTCAGGATATTGATGGTCAGATTGTCACCGACTCAGATGAGGAGGCTGATACTGATGAAGAAGGAGATGTGAAGGAGTTGTTTGATTCAGCTGCCTTAGCTGCTCTTTTAAAAGCAGCAACAGGTGGTGATTCTGATGGTGGCAACATAACAGTCACGTCTCAAGATGGATCAAGACTGTTCTCTGTTGAACGTCCTGCTGGTCTTGGGTCATCACTCCGGTCACTGAGGCCAGCTCCCCGACCAAGCCAACCCAATCTTTTTACTCATTCCAATCTCCAGAACAGTGGAGAATCTGAGAACAACTTGAGTGAAGAAGAGAAGAAGAAACTGGACACACTACAGCAGATCAGGGTCAAGTTTTTGAGGCTTATTCACAGGTTGGGTCTATCTTCTGATGAGCCCATAGCTGCACAAGTTTTGTACCGGATGACACTTATTGCACGAAGGCAAAACAGTCCACTTTTTAGCGTTGAGGCTGCCAAGATGAAAGCTTTCCAGCTTGAAGCAGAGGGGAAAGATGATTTGGACTTCTCTGTGAATATCCTGGTTATTGGCAAATCTGGGGTGGGTAAGAGCGCTACCATAAACTCTATCTTTGGAGAGGAAAAAACATCAATTGATGCCTTTGGACCTGCTACCACCAGTGTGAAAGAGATCAGTGGTGTTGTAGATGGTGTTAAGATTCGGGTGTTTGATACACCTGGCCTCAAGTCCTCTGCGATGGAACAGGGTTTCAATCGCAGTGTCTTGTCTTCAGTAAAGAAGTTGACTAAGAAGAATCCCCCTGATATTTACCTCTATGTCGATCGGTTGGATGCCCAAACTAGAGATCTCAATGATCTTCCTATGCTGAAGACTATCACAAGTTGTCTTGGCCCTTCAATATGGCGAAGCGCCATAGTCACCCTCACACATGGAGCTTCTGCACCTCCAGATGGACCTTCTGGATCCCCTTTAAGTTATGAGGTGTTTGTTACTCAAAGATCTCATGTTGTTCAGCAGTCCATCGGGCAAGCAGTAGGCGATTTACGAATGATGAGTCCAAGTCTGATGAATCCCGTCTCTCTGGTAGAAAATCATCCATCTTGCAGGAGGAATAGGGATGGACATAAGATACTACCTAATGGCCAGAGCTGGAGGCCTCAATTACTACTATTAAGCTACTCAATGAAGATCTTATCTGAAGCAAGTGCACTTTCAAAGCCTGAAGATCCATTTGATCACCGTAAGCTCTTTGGTTTCCGCACACGCTCACCACCTCTTCCCTACATGCTTTCTTCAATGTTGCAGTCACGTGCGCATCCAAAGCTTTCTGCTGAGCAGGGTGGTGACAACGGTGATTCAGACATTGACTTAGATGATTTGTCAGACTCTGACCAAGAAGAAGAAGATGAGTATGACCAGCTTCCTCCCTTCAAGCCTCTTCGGAAGGCTCAGCTTGCTAAGCTCAGCAAAGAACAGAGGAAGGCGTACTTTGAGGAGTATGACTACAGGGTCAAGCTCCTTCAGAAGAAACAGTTGAGAGAAGATTTAAAAAGAATGAAAGAGATGAAAAGTAAGGGAAAAGAGGCTGCAATTGACAATGGTTATGCAGAGGAAGAAGCTGATGCAGGTGCAGCAGCTCCCGTAGCAGTTCCCCTTCCTGACATGGCCCTTCCACCTTCTTTTGATAGTGATAATCCCGCCTATAGGTACCGCTTCTTGGAGCCCACATCACAGTTCCTTGCAAGGCCTGTTCTGGACACGCATGGTTGGGATCATGATTGTGGCTATGATGGTGTTAACGTGGAACAAAGTTTAGCCATTGCCAGTCGTTTCCCTGCTGCAGTTACTGTGCAAATCACCAAAGATAAGAAGGATTTCAGTATCAATTTGGACTCTTCGATTGCTGCTAAGCACGGAGAAAATGGATCAACCATGGCTGGCTTTGATATTCAAAGCATAGGGAAGCAACTTGCCTATATTGTCCGAGGAGAAACCAAATTCAAAAGCTTGAAGAAGAACAAGACTGCTTGCGGAATTTCTGTTACATTTCTAGGTGAAAATATGGTCACTGGACTTAAAGTTGAAGATCAAATCATCTTAGGCAAGCAATACGTTCTAGTTGGCAGTGCTGGCACTGTTCGATCTCAGAGTGACACAGCTTATGGGGCTAACTTTGAACTGCAGAGGAGGGAGGCAGATTTCCCAATCGGTCAGGTGCAATCTACATTGTCTATGTCCGTCATAAAGTGGAGAGGTGATTTGGCTCTAGGTTTCAACAGTATGGCGCAATTCGCTGTGGGACGCAATTCGAAGGTAGCTGTTCGAGCAGGAATCAATAACAAGCTCAGTGGGCAAGTAACCGTGAGGACAAGCAGTTCAGACCATCTCTCTCTTGCACTTACTGCTATTATTCCAACTGCAATTGGCATCTACAGGAAGCTTTGGCCGGATGCTGGCGAGAAGTACTCAATCTACTAAATTTCATTTCCATATCAGCATTGCATTTTTGGTTCATTAGACCTTACATGATGACATATTGTCTTTGTCAGTTCATTGAATAATGCTTCTGTTAATTTCCCATCTATTTAGGATTCCTACTGTTATGAGTTATAAGTCAATTTTGAGTGATTGAATGTACTTTTTTGCCAGATGAAATGAAGAGGTTTGTGTTGCTTTATATGCTTCCTACAATGTATTGAACAACTGTGATTCTTTTTCTCATTTAATGTACTTCTATTCAACAACATACATCTTACAAACAAGGGTCCACAAGGCAGAGTTTCCTTGATTGTTGATATTTATTGTTTTATAACATGATATTAATTGAACCGACTGATACTTCTTGAGTGGTGATATTACAAGGTTCAATATTGGAGTAGAATTTGGTTAAGGTCACTAATGGCTTATGCTTGGGCAAGGACATAATAGATGTACTATCTCATAGTAGTAGAAGTATTTGCTTGAAAATTTTTCTTATCGAGTTTGTGAAGTCATTTTTTGATCTCTTTTTGGAGAAAATGATTGTTTTACCCGAGTCGAGAAACAACTCTCTACTCTCACAAGATAGAGATAAGGTCTGCGTACGTAACTATTCTCATATCCTATTTGAGATTACATTGAATATGTTGTTGAGTAAATGTTTGTTTGAGTTGTTTGTTGATTTTCATTTTTGGTGCCAATCTTATCTCAAAAGGTGTTTATGCTGTGTTACATAGAGGACAAGGAAGTAAAGAGGGGGGGGGGGAGGGGGGGGTTGGGTTGAATCTGTCATTTCACTCTTTTGTAAAGCATGAACTTTAGAAAGCATTTAGAATTATGTACGAACTATTGCAAAAATGTTTCAAGTAGAAGTGATAGATATTATCAATGTAAAAATTATACCTTATCATTTTATTTTAAAATGTTACTTCACCATTTTTACCAATTAATCATTCATATTTTAATTTTCTAGATATGCATAGAAGCAATTCATCATTTTTTAGTACGAGTAGATATCATTAGCTATTTGCATATTGTAAGCAAATATGGAGAAACAACTAACGATCATGATGGATCTTGAGTCATTTAAAAAAATGTATATTGTTGCTACTTCTTCGTGTCAGATAAAAATAAAATAGGGTGGTGGTTAGAGAAAATTACGTAATAAAATAAATTTATACTATTTGATTACATATCATAGTTGTAGTTTGCTATTATTATCTTTCGCGACAAACATTGTATATTAATTACATGGGCCGACTTCGAATTTGTATAATTAGTCACGTTTGTATATGTATAATTCGCCAGAATATACAAATACATATGTATAATATACAATTATTTAACCTACATATGTATACAGTCACCTCTCTTCCTAGTCTCGCTCGCCTCTCTCCTCCCTTTTCCAATCTCCTCTCTCCTCTCTCTCCCAATCTCTCTTGCCATATATACAAATACATAGGTATAATATACAAATATCTAACCAATATACATATATAATTCACCTTTCTCCCACTCTTTTCTCCCCTCTCTCGCCTCTCTCGTCACTCTCCTAGTCTCGCTCATCTCTTTTCTTCATATAACATGTAGCTACAAATTATAATTATCAAACTATATCTATGGAGAGTAATTAATTATATTTAAGTGGCTATATGTGAAAATTTCTTCGATTTAAACACGTGAGGCTTAAAAATATGATGGAAATGATCTCGGGACAATGTACAAATATTTTCCTAGACTGATCGAAATCTAATAAACGCACGTCTTATTCAACTTTGTGAAAAGTTACAAAATCAAATCATTTCTTTTGATGTTCTTTACCATCGATACTCCCTAAAACCTCTTTATTCTTGTATTTTGTTTCACCTGCTTGATTAAAAGTTGATACAATATGATATGTTCAAGAATTTAAATTTGGTGATTTAGGATAATTACTAAATACAATATATTAAGGAACTTAAGAAGTGGCTCACGATATAAAGATGAACAATTACTACCGACAAACATAAACCAAGTTATTAACCTGACGGCCCATTAAGCCCCCCCCCCCCCCCCCCCCCAGTACAGTAATGTAAAATGGTCATTGCGCCGGAGCAACAGTGCCGTCGGTCAAGGGAACGGACTGCTCGTTTTCAGCGGTGGCGCCGCCTTCAAACACCTTCGCGATCCTCTCTACGGGAATAATCGGTAAATAATGCGCCGCCGTATAGCCGTTCTCCGACGCATATGTCACCGCTTGATTGTATTTCTCACTCCAATAAGCAGCCGTCGGCACCAAAATCTGAGCCACTTGAGGGAACAAAGGAAGCTTATTCAGAGATCTCCATGCCAAAACCGCATTTTTCTCGATCACTGGCTCGTATTTTGTGTATAGCTCCTTGACTGTGGGTTCGTACTTTGTGTAGAGTGTTTTAGCTACGTTGCTCGCTGTGTCCACTAAGCCATCGTGCTGTACCTCGCCGGCGAGATCTCGAGCTAATTCTGGAGCCTTCTGAGCTATTAACAGAGCTTTAGATGATGTCTGCTTTAGTAGAGAAGGCACATGGCTTTCAACTTCTGTCATCAAGTCTGCAACCTGCATAGATTCAAACTTTCAAATCCTTGCCACTGAAATTCGAGTTCAAAGTTTACAACATTCGTTTCTATGTTAGTGAATTATCATGTGCATGTCCATGCACATTCTTCCAGATTGAGCTAGATCTAGGATTTCGATTAGTTGGAGAAGACAATTTCTGAATGCCATACAAATACCTTCTCAATTCCAGCAAACTTTCAGCTGCAAAATAAGTATGGTGTAGACAGTATGGGTAAAATTCATTTTGGAGAAAGAAGGTGAACCTTTAGGTCGATGAACTTGAGGAGATTGAAAGGAACGTTATGGAACTTCTCATAAACCGGTCCGATAACAGTTTTAACAGTGGCTTCTACGGCCTGTACACCAGGTTTCAACGGACCGGAGTTTTCTTTGCCGTATTCATACAAAGTTGAGAAGCAAACAATCACATAGATCGCTGCAACTTGAACGAAATCCAGATATTTAAGTTTCCTCTCATCTTCTGCTACCTTCAATTATAAACACAAATCAGGTACAGATTTAAAACTCAAAAATTCTGAATCTCACCTATGTTGAGAAAACACATCTCGAATTAAATTCAACAAATTATACTAGTATTCTACCTGTCAATGCATTTAATCAAATCTAACTACTCTTTCTCGATATATTTTTTATCAGTCGAGTGACCATATGTATTGCGAAGATGAAATTGGCAACCATGAAGGCATTGCACAACAACTCATTCCTAATTTAACACCTCAAAATAAGAAGATAACAATTCATTCTGGCAATTAAATTGAGTAATTGAACAACTTAGATCTAATATGTGAAGCCTGAATAACAGAATATGAAGTTACAACCACGCTACAACGGTGTGTGTTTGAAAATTAAAATTGATTTAACTGTAATATCATGATAAACGTAGAAGACATTGTATACTTACTGGATCAGCTGGATCAGTACTAGTAGGCGGCGTCGTGTTTGCTGGATCAGTACTAGCAGGCGGCGTCGTGCTTGCTGGATCAGTCGTAGCAGGTGGCGCCGTGCTTGCTGGATCAGTAGGCGGCGTTGCAGCTGCGTCAGCCATGGTAGAGATGGAGAAAAACTAAGTAATGGAGTTTGTACAGGAGAGCTTCGAAAAGGCAGGCAGTTGGCAAGCCCTCTTTTATAGCGGACGGGGCACGTAATAATCGTGTGCGGAGAAGTCGATGAAAATTTTACAGGTTTTCAATTAATGTTTAAAACACAAAAATAAAGTGAATAAATATTCTTAATTAAAGTGATTAGTATTCATGACCATAAATAGAAAGAAATTATTTAATAATATTTTTTTGTTAATTTTTAAATAAGGAAAATTACACAAATTGTCCTAAGTTAAGACTTTACTCAATTTATTTACTTTGATGGAACACATAATCCAAATTATTTACCTTACTTTCCTCTTGTTCAATCACTAAATTTTTTTTTAATTCTTGATACGATTTAAATACACTTCGATGATATTAATCAGTAATTGAGCAGTTTCTTCTTTGATGTCATCAGAATGATATTAAAGAGTAACTGAGTAGAGTTTTCACTGAAACACTGTCTCTTTTTCTAAAATTTTACTCTAATGGTATCAAAGAATAAGTGAATCACTGCACTTTTCTTCCTCTTTGATACCACGAGTGTGTGTCTATCTATATATATACTTTGATGGTATCGAATATTAAGGACACATTAGTAGTTAAGAATAGGGGTATGAGAACAGTGGGGTAGCCACATTATGGTCAGAGTGTCCAAATTGACACGATTCGTCGGGAAAAAAAAATACAAGTAAAATGACATACAAAATTATTAAATAACATATTTTGAACACTCTTAACCTAACAAGTTGTTATTGCCTAGTGATTTCGCCTCTTTGGAATGAGTAACTGCTTATATGTTCGAATCTCATTAGTTCTACTTTTAAAAGAGTTCTTATTGTGCTTAATCTGGACACTCTTTGTGAAATTGTTGATTTCGCCACTAATATGAAAATAAGGAGGATAACCACTTATAAATAGTTTTTCTTTTTTGATATAAATGTTGTTTTCTCTTTAAAATATTACTCTCTTCGTTTAATAATAAAGAATAGCCTACTCTTTTATTTGGTCTGTTTAAATAAAAAAGTCCCCTTTTTTTACAATTCTTTAAATTCAACTTTTCACGTGATATATTTAACACCATACAATCAATTTTTTAATACATTTGATACAACTTTAATTTAAAACTAAAAAAATTATTTTATTTTAATTTTTTTAAACCAACATTTTTATAAAATGAAAGGAGTATAATTCTTTAACCCTTTTAATTATTATCGGTTACACTTTAATGCATGTCACTTTTTCAGTAAGTAGGTTATTCTCACGTGATTAGCTAGCTGTTCTAGAATCTCGACAGAATCACGTATATAACCTGTTTATTTTTATTTTTATTTTGTTTATTAATAAAAATAATTAAATTTAATAGGATCGGATCCCGGGTATTAACTTTTATGCGAAGATTCATTTTAGATTGTCTAGATTTATAGTTGTCCTCAATTATTTTTTATTTTTTTCTTTAAAAAGGTAATTATTTTAATTAATTCACTTGAAAATATAAATAATTATGTAAAATTCAAAAAGAGTTTTTTAAAGTATAAATTAGTAAAAGTAACATTTTTATTTATGGTTTTTAAAGAGACGTATAAAAAAAAAATAGACAATTACTCTTCAATGCATTACTTTTTTGTGTGAATTTAGATTAGTCAGGTTCTAATATAAATATTAAAAATGAGATAGTATATTGTATATTCTCTTATTTCATATTTTCTCCGTTTAAAAAAGAATGAACTAGTTTGACTTGGAATGAAGTTTAAGAAAAGAAAGAAGACTTTTTAATCTTGTGGTTCTAAATTAAAGTTATGTCAAATGTATCAAAATGTTCTTAAATCTTGTGGTCTTAAACATGTCACGTGAAAAGTTAAAATTAAATTCTTTTTAAAAAAATTAAATAAAAAATAAGAATATTCTTTTTTGAAACATAGGAAATATTATTTATTCCTTAAAGTTTTTTTTTAATAGTATTTTACCTATCGATTTTAGTAAATCAAAGGTACAATTCTTATTATTAGATGACTGCATGTATTAACAATTAAATTGAAGTTTTCAAAATATAATTAATTTAACAACAATATACCTATGATAAATATTATTTTAAAAGGAATGTCTGGTTAAAATGGATCATCATCAAAGTTATAGTATTAATAATATTAAAATAAAGAAAGATGGAATACTTTATATTATCACTTACATTGTTCGGTACCTACTCATTGATGAGAAAATTGAAAAATTGGTAGAATTTATAGAGGTGCGTTTGAATTTTGAAATTTAAATAAATTTATTTTAATTTATAAAAATATTTAAATTATTAAATATTGTGATTTGTATAAATATTTAAATTATTAAATATTGTGATTTGTATAAATATATTTATAAATTTAAATAAATCTATTTTAATTTGTAACTATTTTATAAAAAAAATTAAATATTTTAAACTATTAAATATTGTGACTTGTACAAATATATTTATGTAGTTTATAAATATAAAAAAAATTAAAAATTTCATATATAAATTTTCAGTTAAATTTAAAATAATTTGACTCTCGAAAAATGAAACTAGTACATGACACGGTAATCGAGGTTGGTGTATGTCTCCCCATCTTCTTGATTTTTTATTTGAATTATGCCCTTCTGGAGAGTTATGGGCTCATTTTGATCATTTCATACTTTTCTTTGCTCATAAGATAGCGATAAGGTTCTCTCTTTATTTGTCTATGTCTTGTACACTTCACATTTTTTTTTAGTAATGTCGATAGGTTAAAATATCATCATTGTTGGTGGGCTAAAACCCATAAGGGTGGAAGGGGTAATTTTTTTTAATAATTTGGTATATTAAATTTTCGTTAGGTGTAAAATTTAAGAAAAAATTAAATATAATATAAAATAAAATATAAAATAAGAGGTTATAATTTATAATTTAAACTGTGACTTTTTAATTACATGATAATAACTTTATTAGTTATCATAACAGCGGATGAAAGTTCGTTTTTTAATGTGTCGATATAAGGGTGCAAGGGGTTGAACTCTTTAATTTTGTTGATAGGTAAAAACAATTGGGGTTCAATTCTTTAGTTGTGTTTGATAATAGGGCAAAAAATAATTAGACTTTTCATATGTATATAAGTTTTTTTTTCTCTTATTTAAATTTCTAATAACACCATTCGTTTGATTATTACTTTATATTAAATATTGGGGTTATTGGCATACTAATTTGATTTTTGATAATTGTGTTGAATTATGCATGTGCACCTAACTCCTAAGTTAGCAAAGAATTGAAAAATATTTTGCAAGGAAGCTATTTTCACAATTTAAATTTTTAATCTTTCGATTACAATAATAACTTTATATATTATAACGATAGAGAAATTTCAATTTTTTTAATTATGTTGATAGGTATAAGGTTGTAGGGGTCAATACTTTAAATTTTGTTGATAGGGTTAAACTTACCAAGGTTTGTGTTTCTAATAACGCAATTCGTTGGGTTATTAGTAACACTAACTTAAAATTGGTTTATCATATTGAATTATTTACTCAAATATTTAGCCAATATTAGGTACCATAATATTATTCCCTTCGTTCATTTTATGTGACATCATTTCTTTTTTTGTCAGTCCCAAAAAGAATGTCACATTTTCTTATATGATAACTATTTAAAGGTAATATCCTTATTGGTCCCACTTCATTTTAAAAATAGTACTCTAATAAGAGAAAAAAAAGAAGTAAGTTTACTAAGAATAATTTAGTAAACATTTTAAAATAATCTTGCCACATAAAATAAAATAAAGGAAGTATAATTTAAGAAAATAATAAACAGTTAAAATAACTTTCAAAGTAATTTAACCACATTTATTGGAACTAAGAGAGTATAATTTAAGAAAATTGTAACAGTTAAAATGACTTTCAAAGTAATCTTAACCACATTTTTTCGATTTCCACAGTAATTTAACAACATTTAGAGAGTCTTAAACTTACTTTATAAACAACCCAGAAAATTTTGTTATTAGTATTGTTGGGATCTTCAGTTAAGAAAATCCCTCCAAAAATTAGCGTATGCCACTAATTGCAACGCGCACACGGTATTCTTTAGTAAAAGGCGAAAGAATAGTTCGCTATGTGCTCACTGCGTGGCTGCGTAAATTATATGATATTAGCACGAGTCTCTTATATGTTGCTTGTAGCTGTTGGCTTACTCACCTACATTACGATGTGGTACTTTATCAACAACACTTCCATTTATGAAATTCCAGTATATGGGCTTTGTGCCTTTGTTGGACCCAGTACTTACAAGTTTGGGAGGGCCACTTTCTGTATTAGCCCACTTTTTCATTGTAATGTAAACAATTCTATAATGATTAGAAAAACAGGTCAAATGTGTTTGGGATGAAAAATAAGTTTTTCCCAGCAAATGTCATCTTGAAAAACAATGTTTTTCAATAATTTTTTAGTGGTAGATAATTAAGAAAGAAAATATTATTCAAAAGAGAATCTATATGTTGTTTAACAAAATATGATAGAGGTTGAATGGATTGGTGTATGGGGGTGGGGGGAGGGGATGATCAAGGGGTGAGAGTTGAGGAGATTGAATGGGCGGGAAGGAGACGATACATTTGGAATAACACTTATGTAATTGTTTTTTTTTTTCATTAAAGACCTTATTTTTCTAAATATTTTGACCAGCTAAACATAAAAAAATAATAATAGAAAAACATTTTTTTTTGAATATTTTCCTCCATGCTGAACATAAAATTGTAAGCTATTCTCTATTATACTAATCATAAGATTGTAAAATATCTTTTGATTTTTCGAACATAATAAGTAAAAGTCGAAATATAAATGTACGTATTTGAATCTACATTTAAGACAATGGATTAAAACCTCATTTGTTTTCACTAAGATGAAAAATGACTGAATATAAATGTACTTGTTAGAATAATTATGATCATGTATATAGATTTGAATACTGAATAATATATTTTAATATGTCGCTTTGAGCCTACACATTGAAAATGACCAACACTCGATATCATTGTTGCTCTAAGCGTGTACCCATAACGTGACATTGGACATGAGCATACATCAAGAATGAGTGAAGGTGCAGTTTAAAAGCATTTAAAGAGACAAGTTCAGTAAAAGAAAACACTTGTATAACACATAAGTTGTGAAATTGGAATCGTTAAAAAAAGACACGAAAATTCAACCTGACACATAACCATGTATCTCTCTATTAAACCTCTAAACATGATCGAGAAGTATCTATTAGGACAAGGCCCTTGGTATTACCTTAAACACATAATTATAAAGTACTAGAAATATGTATATTAAGTCTTTTGAGAAACAGAGAAGGGCTCCCCAATTAGCAGAAAATATGGGACCCAGTGAGCGACTTGATCACATGTATGTGTATATGTAACACTCTCGATAAAAGTGATGTAATTACATATTAAATAGTATTTGTATCTAAACATATCGGTACATGCCAGATCAATACAAACATATAGCATAGTATAACATATGAAGATTAAGAGATAAGGTCGTTAATACTACCTTAATGGTACATCTTTTTATCATATTTTTTTTTATCAATAATAAGATTCTGAAAATATAATAAACGATACAAATACTATGTGAATGCATGAAGTTTGATCTACCCAATCAACTAAGGTGGAGACATATGTGTACATATCATGTGGATCTATAAGTATAACTATCCCTTATCAGAAGCATAAAAGAACAATTCCCCCAAATCAACAAGATATTATCCTTAACAGTGTTGGCAAATGAAGTTTTATACGTTCATCATTTAGATTCATGCACTTTCGATCAACTATAATTGTCTCTAGGTCATATGTTCACAGATTAGCCCAAAAATTTATATTCATGACTTTTAATGAACGTAGTTCATAACTTAAGTTCATCTTATCATATCATGAAATTATATTTATATATATTATAATTGTTTAACAATTTTGCCATATAAAATGAGACGAAGGAATATAATTTAAGAAAATAATAACAGTTAAAATGACTTCCAAAATAATTTAACTAACATTTTTTCGACTTCCACATTAATTTAACCACATTTATTGGGACGAAAGGAGCATAATTTAAGAAAACTATGACAGTTGAAATAACTTTCAAAGTAATCTTAACCACATTTTTTCGATTTCCACAGTAATTTAACCACATTTAGAGGGTCTTAAACTTACTTTATAAACAACCCAGAAAATTTTGTTATTAGTATTGTTGGGATCTTCAGTTAAGAAAATCCCTCCAAAAATTAGCGTATGCCACTAATTGCAGCGCGCGCACGGTATTCTTTAGTAAAAGGCGAAAGAATAGTTCGCTATGTGCTCACTGCGTGGCTGCGTGAATCTTTTGTTAGTAGCACAAGTCTCTTATATATTTCTTGTAGCTGTTGGCTTACTCACGTACATTACGATGTGGTATTTTTATCAACAACACTTGCATTTATGAAACCATAAATTCCAGTATATGGGCTTTGTGCCTTTGTTGGACCCAATACTTACAAAGTTTGGGAGGGCCTCTTTCTGTATTAGCCCACTTTTTCATTGTAATGTATATAAACACTTCTATAATGATTAGAAAAACAGGTCAAATGTGTTTGGTATGAAAAATAAGTTTTTCCCAGCAAATGTCATCTTGAAAAACAAAGTGTTTTTTAATTACTTTTTAGTAGATAACTAAGCAAGAAAATATTATTCAAGAGAATCTACATGTTGTTTAACAAAATATGATAGAGGTTGAATCGATTGGTGTATGGGGGGTGGGGGGAGGGGATAATCAAGGGGTGGGAGTTGAGGAGATTGAATGGGCGGGAAGGAGACAATAAATTTGGAATAACACTTACGTAACTGTTTTTTTTTCCATTAGAGAGGTCAATTTCCTCATGTTTAAAGATCTTATTTTTTCTAAATATTTTGACCAACTAAACATAAAAATAATAATAGAAGAACATTTTTTTTTTGAATATTTTCCTCCATGCTAAACATAAGATTGTAAACTATTCTCCATACTAATCATAAGATTGTAAATTATCTCTTGATTTTCGAACATAATAAGTAAAAGTCGAAATATAAATGTACGTATTTAAATCTACATTTAGGATAATGGACTAAAACCTCATTTGTTTTCACTAAGATGAAAAATGACAGAATATAAATGTACTTGTTAGAATAATTAAGATCATGTATATAGATTTGAATACTGAATAACTAAGACTATTTTTGTAATATGTCGCTTTGAGCCTACACATTGAACATGACCAACACTCGATGTAATTGTTGCTCTAAGCGTACCCATAACCTGGCATTGGACATGAGCATACATCAAGACATGAGTGAAAGTGCAGTTTAAAAGCAATCAAAGAGACAAGTTCTGCAAAAGAATACACTTGTATAACACATAAATTGTGGAATTGAAATCATTAAAAAAAGACATGAAGATTCAATCTGAAACATAACCATGTATCTCTTATGAAATCTCTAAACATGACTGAGAAGTATCTATTAGGACAAGACCATTGATATACTTCAAACACATAAATATAAAGTACTAGAAATACGTAAATTAAGTCTTGGGAAACAGAAAGGAGGCTCCCCAACTAGCAGAAAATATGGGACCTAGTGAGTGACTTGATCACATGTATGTGTATATGCAACACCCTCGATAAAAGGGATGTAAGTACATATTAAATAGTATTGTATGTAAACATATCAGTACATACCAGATCACTAAAAACATAAAGCATAGTATAACATACGAAGATTAAGCGATAATATCGTTAACACTATCTTAATGGTACATCTTTTTATCATATATTTCTTTATCGTAATGAAATTCTGTCAGTATAATTGATACAAATACTATGTGAATGCATGAAGTTTGATCTCGACCCAATCAACTATGATATTTCATACCTCGTTGGGTGTGAGACATATATGTACATATCATGTGTATCCATAAGTATAACTATCCCTTATCAGGGGCATAAAAGAACAATTCCCCCTGATATTATCCTTAACAGCGTTGACAAATGAAGTTTTATACGTTCATCATTTAGATTCATGCACTTCCGATCAATTATAACTCTCTTTAGCTCATATGTTCATGGATTAGCCCAAAAATTCATATTCATGACTTTCAATAAACACAGTTAATAACTTAAGTTCATATTATTATATCATGAAATTATATTTATGTATTACAATTTTGCGTTTCATAAAAGACATATATCAAATCATACCATTATAATAAAGGTCTAACCCACCAATGGTCCCTTAAACTTGGCACAAAGTTTCACTTAGACACCTCAACTGGACGATGTTCATTTTAACCCCTCATGTAGGATCTTGTTGTGTCATTTTGACACTATTTTAATAATCATCCAAAAATACAAAGTGTGTGTAATACACTTGGCGATGGCATGTCAAAGTGACGAATTAAACAAAGACACATGTCATGTCATATATGTAAAAAAATAATTCTGAACTAATGATTTTAAATATAAAGATAAATAACCACTCACTTGATGACATGTGTTGACATGTGGCATTTAAAACTCAAATAATAATTTTTTTTAGGGATAATGCACAAGTACCCCTCAACCTATGCCCGAAATTTCAGAAACAAACTTGTACTATACTAAGGTCCTATTATCCCCTGAACTTATTTTATTAATAATTTTCTACCCCTTTTCGGCTTACGTGACACTATTTTGTGGGCCCAACGCTGGTTATTTTTTTTTCAAGCTAGTGCCACGTAGGCCAAAAAAGTGTAGAAAATTACTTATAAAATAAGTTCAGGGGGGTCATGGGACCTTGGTATAGTATAAGTGTGTCTCTGAGATTTCAGACATAGGTTGAGGGGGTACTTGTGCATTTTCCTTATTTTTTTAAAAGAAATTCAACCCTTCTAATTTTCAAGAAACTCACTGTTGTCCTCTCCACCCCACCCATCCCAACCCAACCACTCCTCCACCCCCATTAGAGCATCCATCCTCTTTACTCCACCCACTCCAACTTCAATCGTTTTCACTCTATCGTCTTTTAAAGAAACACTTTCAAAAGAATCTTAATTACATTGAAAAAAATAATTTATAAAAGTTCACTTTTTCCTCTTCTTTACTTTAAAAAAGAATCAATTATAACTAACAACGGAAGAATTTTTTGCTGGATCTAAAGAAACAAAATGAGAAGAAGATAATGGTTGTGGTGATTTTTAGATTTGCAAAATTAAAAATTATTTTGATTTTAACAAGATTAATGGCGATGTTGCAGTACCCTAATTGATGGTGTATAGTGGATGAAATTATCACAAAGATTGAGGGAAGAAGATGAACAGTGTTTAAAAATATTTTTTGGCCTGAAAATAAGCTCCTAACGGGCTGACTTTGAGTGTATTACACTCACCATGTCTTGTCAACAAAAAGTATCAAAATAACACAATGAAATTCTACATGATAGGGTTTAAAATAAATATTGCACAATTAAAATGTCTAAATAAAATTTCATACCAAGTTTAAGGATTCCATGGGTTAGATATATAATAAAAGAAGCATGAGATAGCATCATAAGATTGAGATTTAGGTAATTTCACAATTCATAATTCTAGGATTCATAGCATAAGAATTTTCAAGGCAAAATTGAACTAGAAAGAGCCGCAGATTATACAACAATATGGATGAGCTGAAGATGATTCTAACAGAAGCATTTGGCGATTCATCAAACAGCGAAGGCGAAGAAGAAGAACAATTTCTCCATGTTCATTCTGTTGAGAATAAGGTCAATGGAAAAGCCCTAATCAGGTCAGTGTTCGGAGAAACTCATAATTGGGAAAGAATCAGTGAAATTGATGGCCTTTGGCTGTGCAAAGACTTTTTATCTCCTGATCAACAATCAAAGTTGTTATCATCAATCCAACAAGGTAATAGCCCCTCTCTTTGTTGCTCATATTCATACTGTTTCAAAGCAGATTTAGGGCGGATTTTTTGGTTCAATTTTTCGAATATATATCAAATTGAAGTAAAATGTATGCGTATAATTAGATAGCACTCCTTCTGAATCCATTATTATACAATGACCTAGAATTTTGAATAATTCATTTACTACTCTTCTAGACTACCTACGCGGGCCTTGCATATACACAGGGCGGAGCAACAAGGCGATTACGGGTTCTGAGAAACGTAGTAGCTTTAGCCTAGACACTGTATTTGTGTTTGTATGGGGAAAAATCGGACTTAATAAAGAAGCGAAATCATGTGGCTACACATGGTAAGTCCAAATATGAAGGAACGTTTGTGGGCGAATGGTGAGGCTCTCCCCGGTATGTCGGAGGAAGCCTTGAGCTCCTGGTTGGGACTGACTTGCAACCGAACAACCAAAAGAAGCCTTGCAATCAGCTTCAAGTGAGAAGTTAGAACATACACACTTGCTATGAAATAGTCTTTTCAATATCCAAGAGTGCTATCGTTTCACATTGAGGTGACGGTTCAGTTTTTTGGTCTATAAAGAAGGTTTTGCAGGCAATAGAAGGCATGGTTTCTTAGAAAACACCAAGAAGTTTTAGTTATTTGATAGTTCTCCCCCATTTTAGCCTCTCCATGAAAAAGGATTTAGAACCTCTCCCACTTGCACAATTCATTTCCCATTTTGGAAGTTATGTACTTGTAAAAAAATCACGACCTTGACGTTTTAGTCATAGGGGAAATGAACTTGATTGGCCTTGACTCACTTGCCTTTGACCCCTTTTACAAATTCAATTATTAGATTGAACGCCAGTTCAATTTCCATGTTGGCGGTCTCAAATTTGAAACCCCTTGCCAGTGAAAGCAAGGGGTTTGATTTCCGAGTCAAGCTCGCAACGGGCTTGCTTTAGTGCGGTTATCTCTCTTGTGTCGCATGCGAGCTATTGCATAGAATCAATTGTCTTACCCTGTCCACACCAAAGGGTAGCGGCGGCGGGTTTTCCTGGTCATTAAAAAAAAAAGATTGAATGCCGTTTTTTCCGGAAAACGATTTTTAAAAGTCCACTTATTATGTATAAATAATTTATTCAGAACCCAACAAACTCGTCTTTTCCAGAACCTGGAACCCACACACTCGAAATTCTAGCCTTGCCTCTAAATTTACTTATGTACAAACATATATACTCACACATTTTAAAGATGATTTGGCCTATATATATATATAGGTATTCATATACATATAAAGTTTGCATTTTAAAGATTCTTTGCATATAGAAATTTTCAACTATATGTATATAAAGTTTCAGCATAATAATGTAGTGAATGGCCTTTTGTTTCAATTATAGCTCAATGCTTTTGAGAGAACAGTTTAAGCAGTCATCAGGGAGCTCCTTATCACGGGTTTCCCTGTAAATTTACTACTGCGCATGTATTATCAGTGATATTTCAATGGTTTCATTTGGCTAAGGAGTAAGACAAATGTATTTGATCAGGCAGAGCTCTTATATTTGCTTCTTGATGGTTGTGGTTGCAGAAGGATGGTTTGCTGAGTCTTCAAGCAATCAGGTGTTGTTGGATCCTCAAACCTTTGGGTATTCTTGTATAATACACTTATTCCCTTTAACTTGTTATATCTTATTCCCTTACATATCAACTTGAGAATCATGCATTCATCAAGTGTGATCAATAATCTTGTGTCATTTGGCTGAAGGATATATTACCCGACGACCACTATATTCATGTTAAATCTTTAGTTTTCATACTTATGCCCTTGAGTTGTGTAAGAGCATTTGAAATAAGATGATTGTTGTAGTAGTAATTTTTATGTCAAAATGTAACTTCTCTATTTACTGGCGCTAAATCTTGAGAATACTATGACTACCACTTGAGGCAGAAGATGAACTTATGACATTTCTCTCTGAATATTGTGAATGGAATAAATGTTTTTCATTTATTTGTCTGCCGTTTATAATTGTACGTTAGTATTCATTCTGGGGAGACTTATCAAAACAAGGACTTGAATACTGAGGGGTTGTTTGGTATGTGAGATTTTATGTGTTTGGATAGGGGTATTAGTTCGTTTCAGAATTATTTATCCCACCATTTATACTGCTATGATGGGATAAGTTATCACATTATATGGTGGGATAACTTTGTCAATCCCATCCCCTACCAAACAACCCCTAAGAGATTTTGGATTAAAAAAACATATATAAGCCAAAAGGGCTGGATGCTCAAGAATTTATTTTTTTTTAAAAAAAAAAGAGATTCTGAAAGTACTAATCATCACGATGTTGATTCGTACGCTATTTCGACCGTGTGCATCAAACCAATATCCTTCGTTCAAAGTTTAAAAACTTTACACTCTGCTTTCAGCTTTGTTTTTACCCTATAGTTGTTAATTAACCTTCGAATGAGCATACTGCAACGCATATCTGTCATGTACTTGAACAATGGAAAAGTTCATCCTGCAGTTCTCTAAGAAAGACAGCAGGGCTGTTGGTTCTGTTTAACATTTTCTTTTCCTTTGTTTAAGTGACTAGTTTAGCATTTTTGTAAACCAACTACAAATTTTTGAATTTCTCATAAATCATAATTAGATCACCCTGTTCGACTCTTTTAACCTGTAGTCATTTATCAATGCACTTGATCACATGTATTTTCATCTCATACAGGCTATGAGATTTGGCGACCTACCAGGATGGGCGGTTGAGCTCTCCAGGTCTATCCATGAGGTGATTCTTTTCGGTAGTTATGCTGCAGAGTTGGAAAACTGTGAAAAGGGCAAGGAAGCATGTATTTTTCCACAAGATCTGTTATGGAGGGAACCTCTATTTGATCAACTTATAGCTAACATGTATCAACCAGGTGAGGTGCGACTTTATCCTTTCACATAACTGTTTTTTTAGTGGTAATTGTTGTACCATGATAAATTACAGTGCTACTGAGTAAGTAGTACAACCATCAAACCCTTTAGGGTGGTCCAGCGGTTGAACTTGGGATTTCTATGTTAGAGGTCTCAAGTTCGAAACCTGCTTGCCAACAAAAGCAAGGAGCTCGTCGCACTAGACTTGTCTCAAGTTTTAAAATCGCTTGCCAGCAAAAGCAAGGACCTCTTCTGGGTCGAACTTGTCGAACCAGACTTGCTTGTTACCTCTTCTATTACCTATGTGCATCCATAATATAGCGACCGCGGATTTTCCTCATCATAAAAAAATACAACCATAAAATTTTGATGTAGTATAACTTGCTCATGAAAAGGATCAGCATCCTTTTCTTTACAGTGGAATTCTGGTGATGAATTACCACATTGCTTTATAACAGGGTATCTGCGCACATGTTGATCTAATGCGGTTTGAGGATGGAATAGCTATTGTTTCTCTAGATTCATCCTGCGTAATGCATTTTTCTGGAGTCGAAAATGAAACATGCACAGCTCAAGATCCACCACACAAAGTGCCGGTGCTTTTGACACCAGGTTGTCTTATTCTGATGTGGGGAGAAGCACGCTATCTTTGGAAACACGAAATAAATCGAAAACCTGGGTTCCAAATATGGCAAGGTCAAGAGATTGATCAAAAGAAGAGAATCTCAGTGACACTGAGGAAACTTGGTCGCACTGACTAGAAATTTAGTGCTACACATTTGCTCGCGTCATTTTCTTGTGCTTAGGCAGAACAGAAACTTGCATTATTCATGTTGCTTGAAGAATTGAAGCTTATGATATAATGCATCAACACGTTTCTGCAGATTATACTATGGTATAATCCAATATATATGGAAACTTATACATTTGTTTGAAATCTCAAAGGTGATATATTTGTTTAACTCTTGAAATTCAAAAAGTGAGACATGAAATAAAACGATTGAACAAGCAAGTATGTAATTATTGTACATTTTATCTACCGAGTGAGGCCGAGAGGAGGGGAGAGGAGAGGGGACAATAATTTTATAATTTGCATTTCATTTTATAAAATTCGTATTATTATTTTTTCATAATTAAGTAGTAAAGTCTGAATTGTACAAATGTATTTTTTTCCCATAATTGAGTAAAGAGTCTTGAATTGTATAAGTATAATAAGATCCGAAATAATAGATTGATAGTGATACAAATTATATTATACGAAAACTAAAAGTTACACGTTTATACGAGATTAAAAAATTAAAAACCAAAATTATTGAATGTAGTATATAGTAATAAAATCGAAATAAATAAAAAAAACATGCAAATTATACTATACTAACTGTGACAAATTATACAAACTAAAAATCGATCTACATAATTAAGGTTAATATTAATAGCAAGTGTTAGTTATAGCTTTTGATTACTAGCTGAGTAATATAAATTTAACCAACAACGTAGTAGTAGTTCTGTTTGCTTCGAATTATAGCCATATAATGGAACAGGCAAAAGCTTATTTAATTTTTCATTAAAGCATAAAATATAGAACACACATGTAAATTTAATTTAATTAAAACATAAATATAGAACATGTAAATTTACAGTACATAAGCCTCACAAGCCAAAACAAAACAAAAAACAAGTGCATATTATTTATTTCTTCCTAATGATACACAAGCTTAAGATTTGCTAAACTCAAAAGCACAGCCCATCCAAAACAAGGTTTAACCAAATCCCCAGCAATAGGATTCACATTTTTAAAAGCCCTAAAACAACCAATCAACACTCCAAACAAAGCCACACATAACACTAACCCAATTCTAGTAGCACCTGCTTTGAACACAACTGGATCCCAAGCCAAACTCAACCCTAATTGAGCTAAATACAAAATTATAGCCATAGGTTGACGATGAAACCCACCTTCAGCCCAAACAAGCCAAGCAGAAAGACCCATTAGAAGAGAAGAACCTAAACAGGCTAAATGTAAAGCCCATAGACGCGGAAACCAGAAAGGCTTCTCCATTGAAACGTACTGGTAACTTGATCCGAATAGAGAGATGTCAATTAGGGTTAATAGAAGTGGAATTGATAAAGCGATTGTCAATGATTTGACGCCTCGTTTAGCGATCTGTTTTCTTGTTGATCTGTTGATGTTTTTGTTCGATTTTGAATCCTTATCGTGAGCAGATTTTGTGTATTGCTCTGTTTGTTGTGATTTCGTAGTACTTCTGTGTTTTAGCTCATCTTGTTGAGAAGCCATTATCAAAATGTACTTTTTAGGAAAGTGAGAGAGTTTTTTGAGTGCAAAAGGTAAAAGGAAGTAGAATTGGAGAAGAAGAAGAAGAAGGGTCAGGAGGAATTTCAGGTGATGTAATGATATTGAAAGAAGATGGATCCGCTATTTATATCCATCCTCTTATATTTGCTCATTATATATGCATTTTTATTTAGGCATAAATAGCTTTAAATTTTAATTTTGACGTTAAACTTTCATAACGTACAAACAAATATTTTAACCGTTCAACTTTTAAATAAATAAACACATAAGTTCTACATGGCACATTACACGTGGAATACCATGTTGGACAAAAAACAACATATGAAATATGCGTGTTTATTTGTTCAACTTTATACAAGTTAAAGTATTTACTTGTGCAAACCCAAAATTGAATGACATAAATGTGATTCGAAACTAAATTAAAGAGCATATTTATGTACTGTGACTTTTATTTAAATAGTATATTCACTTAGTTTTTAATTATTTATTTATTTTTATTTAAAAATAACAGATTAATATGACTAATTTATTATTTTGTTGTTATTAATTATAAAGTAAATGAATTAAATTTTTTAAGGAATTTCATATTTTCTATAAAGGAATTGATTGAAAGTGATATAATAGGGAAAAATTATCTTTTATTTATGAGAATAAATAAATAAATAAATAATGATAAAAAAATAGATAAATAATTATTGATAAATAAAATAATAACTTTGGTATTGATATGATGTATCATATGAGACTGTTTATATCTAAGCCAAAGGTTTTGAGTTTTGAGTTTTGAGTATAAATTTCTTTTCATATGGATTTGACACTTTCTTTCGAATAGTAAAAAATAATCAAATTTTATTGTGAATATCTAATGTATAATCAGACTTTAGTTTAGTAAATTGAGTATATATAAGAAATAATAAATATAACTTACATGGTAAATTGAGTATATATAAGAAATATAACATACATGGTACATGGTGTGAATTTAAATTAATTAGATTTTTAATTAAAAAAATTTAAATTTTTTAATTAATATTTTCTTTTGAAATAACAATTAAAAAACGACAATACAAACTCAATAATAGTTTAATATGAACTATCATAAAAAATATATATATAATGTATATAATTATTTTGGTAAGCTATTCAATATTAGTAATATTTAGGATGTGATAAGAATTGCACTTGTTACCTGTAAGTTCGATCCCTTGTAGGCGTGAAATATGTGTAAGCAAAGATGAAGATTAGTAATTAAAAGAAAATTGACATTTGGCAGAAAGAGGTTATGAAGAGTGGAAAGAAGTACTACACGTGGAGAGAAGTCACTCACAACACTAATTGATGTTATTATTAAAAAAAATAGGGATAATGTCCAAGTACCCCCTTAACCTATGTTCGAAATCTCAGAGACACACTTATACTATATTAAGGTCCTATTACCCACTAAACTTATTTTATTAATAATTTTTTACCCCTTTTTAGCTTATGTGACACTATCTTATGGGTCCAACAATGGTTGAATTTTTTTTCGAACTAGTGTCACGTAGGCTAAAAAGGAGTAGAAAATTACATATAAAATAAGTTCGGGGGATAATAGGACCTTAGTATAGTATAAGTATTGTCTCTGAGATTTCGGACATAGATTGAGGGGGTACTTGGGCATTTTGCCAAAAAATATTGAATATGTTATCGAATTTGAGAAAAGACTCATTTATATGAACTTTGAACATTTATGTAATTTTTATTTGAAAAATATTAATATAGTTTTCAAATAGAAAATATAGTGGGTAAATAAAATTATGTCTAATCTTATCATCTTTATCTATCTAGGTATTTGAGAAGCTTTTTTCAAGTTTTTAATGACTTGATGTTTTTTTTAAATGTTAAAATATTTCTTTTTTTTGATATTATAAAATTAATAAATAATATGGTGGAGAAATAAAATTAAATCAAAGAAGTAATACAGTAATTTCAATAATAAATAAAAAATAACATAATCTTACTCATAAAACGCTATTGGTGAACCGTTTTGCACCTAATCTTATCAGTTCTTTCTACTTAGGTATACAAGAAGCAATTTTTTTAAGTTTTTAACGATTTGACCTTTTTTAAATGATAAAATATTTATCTTTTCCTGATATTATAAAAGTAAAATAAAATAAAAAGAAATATATTTTAATATAGTGGACAAATAAAACTAGGTAATAATGTAATTTCAACAATAGTAAGAAGTCACATAATTTACTCATAAATTACTATTGGTGAATCAACTCTTTCTATTTCGGTATTCGAGAAGCGTATTTTCAAGTTTTCAATTTTTTAAATGATACAATATTTATCTTTTTTTGATATTATAAAAATAATAAATAAATATATTTTTGATATAGTGCAAAAATAAAATTAGACGAAATGGGTAATATAGTAATTTCAACAATAAATAAGAAGACACAAAATTTTACTCATAAAACACTATTGGTGAACGCATTTTATGCCTTATCTAATCAACTCTTTCTATTTAGGTATCTGAAAAGTGTTTTTTCAAGCTTTCAACGACACAATATTTGTTTAAAAGATAAAATGTATATCTTTTCTTGAAATTATAAAAGTAATAAAATAAAATAAACAATATATATTTTAATAAATTGGACAAATAAAATTAAAGCAAGGGATAATATAGTCATTCAACAATGAATAAGAAGTAATAGAATTTTAATTAAAGCAAGGGATAATATAGTCATTTCAACAATGAATAAGAATTAATAGAATTTTACTCATGAAACACTATTACTGAACTCGTTTTACACCTAATCTTATCAGCTCTTTCTATTTAGATATTCGAGAGGCGTTTTTTCAGTTTTCAACGACCTGACGTTTTTTAAATGATAAAATGCTTATCTTTTCTTAAAATTATAAAAGTAATAATTGAAATAAATAAATACATTTTTAATATAGTGGACAAATAAAATTATACGAAAGGAGTAATATAGTCATTTTAACAATAAATAAGAAATAACAGAATTTCACTCATAAAGTCCTATTGGTGAACGCGTTTTATGTCTGTTCTTATTAGTTCTTTCTATTTAGGTATACAAGAAGCATTTTTTCAAGTTTTCATCGACATGACGGTTGTTTAAAAGATAAAATGTTTATCTTTTCTTGCTATACAAAAGTAATAAATGAAATTAATAAATATATTTTTAATATAGTGGACAAATAAAATTAAATGGAAAGGGTAATACAGTAATTTCAACAATAAATAAGAAGACACACAATTTTTACTCATATAATGCTATTTGTTGAACGCGTTTTATGCCTAATTTTATCGATTGTTTCTATTTAGGTATCTAAGAAGTGTTTTTTTCACGTTTTCGACGACTTAACTTTTTTTAAATGATAAAATGTTTATCTTTTCTTGATATTATAAAAGTAATAAATGAAAAAAATAAATATATTTTTAATAAAGTGGACGAATAAAATTACAGGAAGGAGTTATATAGTCATATCAACAATAAATAAGAAGTAATAAAATTGTACTCATAAAACGCTATTGGTGAACGCATTTTATGTCTTATCTTATCGGCTCTTTCTATTTAGGTATTTGAGAAGCGCTTTTTCAAGTTTTCAACGACATGAACTTTTTTTCAATGATAAAGTATTTATCTTTTCTAGATATTATAAATGAAATAAATATATATATTTCTAATACAGTGGACAAATAAAATTAAATAGAAGAGGTAATTTAGTCATTTCAACAATAAATAAGAAATGACATAATTTTACTTATAAAACGCTATTGATGAACATGTTTTATGCCTAATCTTATAAGCTATTTCTGTTTAGGTATTCAAGAAGCGTTTTTTCAAGTTTTCAACAACATGACGTTTGTTTAAAAGATAAAATGTTTTATCTTTTCTGGATATTATAAAAGTAATAAATGAAATACATAAATATATTTTTAATATAGTGGACAAATAAAATTAAATGGAAGGGGTAATATAGTAATTTTAACAATAAATAAACAGTAACAAAAATTTTACTCATAAAACGATATTGGTGAACACGTTTTTTTCCTAATCTTATTTGATCTTTCAATCTAGGTATCCAAGAAGCATTTTTTCTAGTGGGACTTAACATTTTTTAAATGATAAAATATTTATCTTTTTTTGATATTATAAAAGTAGTAAATGAAATAAATAAATACATTTTTAATATAGTAGACAAATAAAATTTAACAGAAGGGGTGATATAGTCATTTTAATAATAAATAATAAATAACAAAATTTTGCGTGTAAAATATAATTGGTGAACGTGTTTTATGCCTAATCTTATCAACTGTTTCTATTTTGGTATTCGAGAAGCATTTTTTCAAGTTTTTCACGACTTGACATTTTTTTAAATGAAATATTATTTATCTTTTTGTGATATTATAAAAGTAGTAAATGAAATAAATATTTTTAGTATAGTGGATGAATAAAATTAAACAGAATGGGTAATATAGTAATTTCAACAATAAATAAGAAGACACAAAATTTTACTCATAAAACGCTATTGGTGAACGCACTTTCTATCTTATCTTATCAACTCTTTCTATTTATGTATCCGAAAAATAATTTTTCATTTTTCAACGACATGACGTTTGTTTAAAAGAAAAAAATGTTCATCTTTTCTTGATATTATAAAAGTAATAAATGAAATAAATAAATATATTTTTACTAATCAATATCATTATTTGTTGTCAGAAATAAAAAATTGATTTTACAAAACTTTTGTGTTGCATGTGGTCAATTATGCTTTGACCACATCATTGATTATTCATTTTTTTTAAGGAAAAAGTTCAAGTATGTCATCAAAGTTTTAAAAAGATTTATTCGTGTCATTTATTAAAATTTATTTTATTTATGTCATTCAATTATTTTTTTAATAGATGACATAAATAATTTTTTTCTCAAAATTCGATGATATATTTAAGTATACCTATCTTCTATTAGCTGACACGATTCAAGTTAGGAAGGCAAATGAATAGATCAAATATGAATCTGTTGAAAATATACCAACGTAAAAATAAGTAAAATATCAAAAAACTGAGGTTTAATATTGTTAGTTTCTTCAAATTATCAAGTTATTTATTTAGATACTTGAACTAATCTCAATTAAGAGCAGCTCTATTTTAAATAAAGATAATCCAGATTCGCATTCGCTAATTAGATATGCTTTTTTTAGTTATACACATCAACTTCAAAAAAAAAAAAAGTATGTGAACTTATTAAGGTGATTAGTATAGTGAACATAATTGCATTCCATAGCAACACATATATGTATAATTTGCTATTCATATACAACCGAATTATACCTATTTCGCTATACATATATACAAAAGAAGCAATTGTATAATTCGTTAGTTCCTCTTCAGATTTGTATAATTTCGTTGGCAAATCATTTTTATAAATTGCTGTTAGCCTCTCATTTGTGTAAATCGTTGTTAGCCTCTCAACTCAATTGTATGTGTTTGTATATCTATATAAAATTTGAATTTGTATATAATTGAATCGAATTGTATAAAACGAGAAAGAGAGAAATTATATATAATTTGAATTTGTATAAATCGAGAAAGAGAGAAAGACAAAATAAACTTCGACAGGAAATATACAATTGAATCGAATTGTATAAAACGAGAAAGAGAGAAATTATATGCAATTTGAATTCGTATAAAACGAGAAAGAGAGAAAGATAAAAGAGACTTGACCAGGAAAATATTGTATTGTATAATTATAAATAGGACGGAGATATATGTATTTGCATGTGTATATATAATTTTCTCTCGCTTTACACAAACAAAAACACAATTTATACATTTCTATTGTATAAGCGAGAGAGGGAGAGTGGCGAGCGAGAATATGAGGGAGAGTAGTGAGCGAGAATATGAGTGAGAGAGGCGACTGACAAACAATTTGCTATGAAACACAAATAAATCAAACGATGGATACTATATTTATTTTACATTATTAGTTTGTCATTCTATATAATTATCCCAATTCAAATTAGGAGATTAGTTAGATATTTAGTCAATAAATTACTATATTTAAGGGGAATGCGTTGGACATGAAGGTCCCTAACATGATTATGTGGATAAATTATAAATGGGCTATTTGCTAAAAAACTAGTTTAAACATTTTTATGCTACTTCTAGTAGTTCAGGGGCCCTTTTAAACTAAAAAACAAATAGAGGGCTTCTTTGTTCAGATTCTAATAAATCAGGGTCTTTTTTGTCTAATTTTTAGAATCAGGTGCCTAATTGTGCTATTTGTTGACAGATATGGCACTATAATTCTACTTCTAATAGTTCAGGGGCCTCTTTAAACATAAAAAAAATTGAGGACCTTTTTGTTCAACTTCAAATAGATCAGGGTTATTTCTCCATATTTTTAGAACTATGAAACGCTGCGTTTTAAACAGCAAAGGAATCCAATTCCCAAATTCCTAAGACGTCGTCTTTTCGCCGAGATCGTCAGTTCTCCTGCTCCGGCAGCCATGGCCGCCAAAGCAGCTGCTATACGCAAGAGTAATAGATCGGAGAATTTCATTCAAAAACTCGTTAAAAATCCTAAAATACCTTTTGCTATTGCAATACTCATTGCTGATGCCATCCTCGTTGCGTTGATTATCGCTTACGTTCCATGTAAGTTTCAGTTTTCCACACTTCATTTCCATTTTTTTTTCTTATGTGTGTATGAAATCATAAAATTCATAAATTGTGAAATTCCTCAATTTCTCCTTTTTTTAGATACGAAAATTGATTGGGATGCTTATATGTCTCAGGTGAGAGTTCAACATTTTGATCTGTTTGTTTGTCTTGTTCAGTAATGTAGCAACGGTTTGAGTTGAATTCAGTCTGATCAGTAATTTGGCTTAAATGACAAATTAAGGCAAAATATTTACCAGTATTTGACATTATAGTGTGATTTATTGATATCTTACTTATATAGTTTTGATTGATTGATTTTTTATTTTTTTTTGGTTTAATAGGTTACTGGTTTTCTCGAAGGAGAGAGGGATTATAGTAACTTGAAAGGTGACACGGGGCCTCTAGTTTACCCAGCAGGCTTTCTTTATATTTACTCTGCTATACAATATGTTACTGGAGGTCAAGTCTATCCTGCTCAGGTAATTTTCCTACTTTCTCCATTTCCGTGAGGTGCCTTTTTTTGCGGTGATAGCCAGTGAACTTGCGTAAGGAGTTGTTAGATTGATTGTGATTGTCCACTTTCAAATTTGATTAGATTTGAAAGAGCACGTAAATGCAGTTAATTGGTTGTCCCCTTCCAAATTTCATAGATTTTGCTACTGAATTTTAAGTAAGTGAGACAATAGTTGTTATGTGTTAACAAATAATAAAATGGAAGCATAGCATCTGTATTGATGATGTGAACTAGTAAAGTAGGTGTTTTCTTATGCAGGCTTTGATTTCTAAGCAGCTACATTAACAATCTTAACTCTTGCTTTGCTTCGACTCTGTGTCATAATTTTTGGAACTCCAGCTAGATATTCATGCCCGTGAGGCGTGATGCACTTTTCTTTGAAGATGCTACTACTCTTGGAAGTATACCATCTTCTAGAGTGTTTCTTTTCCAATAATGACAATCTGAAGTAAATATTTTCTTTTCCTCTAACTTAATACTAACTAGAAAAAATTGCAATGGTACACTTTCTATGCTTGTGTGGCTGGTGTAAGCTTAAAGTAGATTCCAGCATGAGAAAAAAAATTAGTATCCTTTTTCTGGGTTTTGCATGTTCTGGAAGGTTCATACATACATAAGGTGTAGTCACTTGTTTAGCTAACTAGTTGTGACTTTTGTATAATGTGGGCATATTCAGCTCGTTCATTGGATAATCCGTACACTATTATGTCCTTCGGTATATGGTCACGTTACTTGCTGCCAGTTGTTGATTTCTATTTTCTCATGCCAGTGCAGATTCTTTTTGGCTTTCTCTACGTGCTGGATCTTGCAATTGTCTTGTTCATCTACTTGAAGACTGATGTGGTAGGCGTCCTCTTCATCTGAATTTTATGGATAACTTTTTTGGAACTGGTAATTCTGAATTTTATGGATGATGTTTTAGGCTAATGTATTCTTGAAAAAGAGTTGTATTGTGACTGCTGTAAGACTGGATCCAGTGGTGAAATTTGTTAGTGTTGACTACAACAACATACCTAGTGTATTACCACAAAGTGGGGTTTGGGGAGGGTAGAGTGTTTAGAGCTAAGGTCTGCATACACTTTCAAAAGATTTGAGTTTCTAGGTCCCTATATATAGTTTTATACATGGATATACTTTATCTTCTCACCTTTGCCACTATAGACTGAACTCTAGCATAATCTTAGTGCTCTTATGAATGAAACCTTATCATTTTATAAAGAATAAAATTCTAGACTTCAATTTGAGACCTGGTGACAAAATGCACCTTCTTTAAGCTTACACAGATGAGCTTTATTTAAAGGAGGTATCTTGGTAAACGATAAATCAAAATTGAACTTCAACGGGATTTATGGAGGAAAAATATGATGAGGCTGACAAGTTATTACGTCTCTGGGAGGTATTTCTAAATAAAGAAGTTAAAGAACAGTGAATCTTGGGACTGTAGTTAGACCATTTATCAATATCATTCAAATCTTATGCTAAGGAGATCAAGAATTTTTGCTCAAATAATTTCCACAAATAATTATGTGTGGTTCAGAGGAAGTTGTAATGTGTAATTGAGGACATCTGTAAAAATTTGTCTGAACATCTCTAATAAGACGGAGTCTCGACCAAAACTTTTGGGAATTTGTATATCTTTTCACACTGAATCAAGGTTGGCTTTCAACTGTAGCAAGAGGAGAATGTCCGCAATATGTCTTACTTTCTTCTGATAACCATTTCTCTTTCTGATTTAGCTTTAGCCTTGAAACTTCTAATAAGTTCTTTCAGTAAATATTCAGAATTCAACCACTTTGTACTAAGTAGAAAATCTTTATTCCTTGGAGTTAAGATATGCTATGAGTAATTGGAAACATATTTTTTCCAGGTACCTTGGTGGGCTCTCTCCTTGCTTTCTCTGTCGAAAAGAGTTCACTCTATCTTTGTTCTTCGATTATTTAATGATTGTTTTGCCACTACTCTCCTCCATGCTGCATTGGTCTCAATTATCTGCCAAAAATGGCATCTAGGGTTGGTAATTTTCAGGTATATTCTTGCTTGCTTAGACATTTTAATCGTTGGATTAAATTTTTCTCTATGTCATTGATTAAAAACCATCAGTTAAGATTGATCAATGGTCTTCTCTTTCGTACAGCGGAGCTGTTTCCATAAAGATGAATGTGCTCCTGTATGCACCACCTCTGTTGCTCCTCATGGTGAAGGTATACTATTGGGACAGTATAGGTCATTAATAATCTCTGTAGGACGTTGAATTACATCTCTGATTAGCTTCTGTGTTATATGGTGGGAACTTGAAATACAGGCAATGGATATTGTTGGAGTTATATCTGCTTTAGCAGGGGCTGCATTAGTGCAGGTGGGTAATCTCCAAGTTCCCTTTCTAATTTCTAATGCAATGATGTTCAGCGGGCGGCATGATTTTCTTATCTTTACTTTTGTTATTGTGTTCATGACTGCAATTGTGTTCTTTGTAAATGTTGTTATGGAAAATAGTTTAAGCATGTTTCGTTATTTGGGGAGGGGAGGTTTGTGGTTGCTCCAGGATCAAGGCATCGCTTTCTTCGGCGTACTCATGAACAAAACTTGATGTTTTAACTTTTGTGTGATCTATATGTTCCATCTTCAATGCTCTTGGGCATTCTTTTAATTGTTACAATATTATTTCTATTCTTTCCTCAGAGATCGACTGATGAGTTTGTGGTTCATATGCATAGGTGAGTCGGTTACGAGTATACTTCTGTTGAATGGAGCTTCTTCTGATCAAATTCTTTACCAATGATCATGGTGATTGGTGATTGGTGATTGGTGCAGATTCTCATAGGGCTTCCTTTTATCCTGTCACATCCAGCTTCATATTTATCAAACGCTTTCAATCTTGGTCGGGTTTTCATCCACTTCTGGTACTTTCTTAAACACAATCTGTGCATAATGGGTACTCTGAGGCACCATATCAAAAATATCATGCAACTTTTGAGTCTTTAACATTGCCGTCATCCTTCTTTCTGGATTTATTTATGTTTCAGTAAAATTGTTTTAATGTGCAAAATGAATAAACATTATACCCCTGGATATTTATGAAATCAGCATTAATATGGTGATAAGAGATTGTGTATCTATTCACTTGACACACTGTTATATAATCGTGCATTATCATTATATGAAACAACATTATTGTATTTGTCATGCACTTTTTACCTTAAATGTCATCAAACAATACACTGGTATTTGGTGGTGTCTGCTAAATGTAGGAGATGCATGTTCTTACTGCTGGCTGTAGTTTGTTCTCTGTCTCGTCCCTTGGGAGTTCGGGTGGGTAGTGGGCTCGTTTCTTTCAGTGGACGTAGACAGCAAAGTACTTTTTTTCCCCATATCCCTTGAATATCACTCTTACCCTAAGCCTACTCTGATCTTCTAACTAAAGTTCAGTCAAATCCTTATAAATTTTAAGTTGTATTTGGTATGCCTTTTAGAATAATCTTATTCGCTAAGAACTGTATTTCTATCAACTGTGTTGGTGCAACATTATGCTCATGTCATGATGTTGTGCTATCCTTTACAAAGAACAATTTATCGTAACTCTCTTCTTTTGTTGCAGGTCTGTCAACTTCAAATTTGTTCCTGAAGACATCTTTGTTTCTAAAGCTTTTGCTCTCTCTTTGCTAGTTGCTCATCTCAGTCTGCTATTGGTGTTTGCTCATTACAGATGGTGCAGGTGAGTATTTCTCATATTATCATTACATCTAGTGTAGTGGCGTTGATATTCCAGTACTGAAGTAGGAAAAGAAAAGTCATAATATGATAACTATATCATTTTCTTCTCTACATACAAAGGCAATAAGTTAGCGGCTACTGGACTGCATTTTTCCTTTTTCATCTTTTGCAGGCATGAAGGAGGACTGTTTGCTGTTGTGCGTTCTAAAATCATTCAACTGAAGCTCAGAGTTTCTCAGAGAAATCCTTCCTCAACCAAGAAAGTCCTTCAAGCTGACCGTAAGCAACATGCACAATTTATTTTGTGATTTTTCTATACTCAAAAAGGCTGTCAAGTGTTATACTGTCACTAGTTTTGTCTTGATTTGACATGATCTTTGGTTGCTGAATTGGTCTGTGTCTATTTCATTCTCAGATATTGTGACGACTATGTTTGTTGGGAATTTCATTGGCATTATATGTGCCCGATCCCTCCATTACCAATTTTATTCTTGGTAAGTTTTTGCAGCTTATTTCTTTCTTTAGGTCATGGATTCGATCTCATACTCCTCACCTCTTAACACAAATGTCTTGATGTGTTATTAAGGGTTAGCTGAACTAATTTTCAGAGTGAATTAGAAGAAGATTTTAATTGTCCACATTAATTTAAATATGCAACTTTCCATATATTTAAACATTTGAAAAGCTTTAGTAAATGATAATTTTGCTTTGATTCTTGGAATAGTTAACAATAATATTCAGCTTGAGATAGATGCATGCTTTTATGATCTTATGTTTGTATTGAGCTCAGTTCTGGTGGTAACTGCTCATAAAAGCACAACATATATTTCAAGAGGACATAATTGAAATGTTTAATCAGAAATCAGAATGATAAACTGTTTTATTCTAACTTAGTAATTGTGCCACACTAAAATAAATAATGCGTTTCAGACAGACATAGTAATAAATAGAGATGCTTCAGCATCTCATTGAAGAACAGAGAATTTTGGGGTGCATTTTGTTAGTAGTTCACGGGACTGCAGCATGTACTTAAGGGAGAAGTGTATTTAAATATAAAATGCTCATTGAGTAGTTGACCACCTCTCTGTGTGTAACTTTTTCCCCGGTGAGTCGGTGAAGATCACAAAAAATCAGCTCCTCTCCCCTGCTAGCATGGCACCAAACAAGACATAAAGGCCTTGACTAACATTTGCCAAGCAAATGGAAATTTGGAAGATTACTCGCTCTTTCACTGCGTTCCTGGGTTCTGTGTCAAAGTTTTAATTGAATTAAGATAAAACCATTGATGTCCTAGAGCTTGTTTGCAGGTACTTCTATTGCTTACCATATTTATTGTGGAAAGCACCATTTCCAACCCTCCTACGGTATACAACTTAATACTCAAACTTCTCTGTTTGCTTTAGTTTTTTGGTATTTTCTGTTGACAAGTTTTCGTGTTGTACTGCAGTTTATTCTTGTTCGCAGCTGTAGAGTTTTGCTGGAACGTCTTCCCCTCCAACACTTGCTCATCACTTGTCCTCCTCTGTGTCCATTTGATCATATTGGCCGGTCTATGGATAAGTTCACCAGAATATCCGTACGTCGAAGAAAAAACAACTTATAAATCTACACCTAAGAAGAAGGCCAGATAAAGCACTATCTGGTTATGCATGTGAATGGCAGATAAAGAAAAAACAACTGATAAAACAAAGTTTTTGTTTTTCTGTTTCTTTTCGTAGTGTTAATGCTTACAGTTTTGTTAGATGGTATACAAAACCAGAAAGGTGGTAACAACCACACGAAGATCATCCAATGGCATCAAGGATGAATATTTTCTGGGGGTTTTCAACATTTGAGGATTTCATTAGCTCAAATCTGAATTAGACTTGAATATTTTAGAAGGTCAACCTATTTTATTTATCTAAATCTGTATGGTGTACTATTTATTGTCAAGATTTAAGGACCTTTAGTCATTTTCGCCGAGGTTAGCTGGTCGTTTGTGCCTGCTCATGGAAAAGTTCTACCTATAATTGGCATATAGTTTACGTCCCTCTTCATGATTCATCAGATTTTGAATTTGACAACGTGCCTGTAGAGTACATGACATCCCACAAGTTAACTAGTGCTGAACTACGGTGATTTTTTGACAATTTATTTGATATTTTCTTGAAAAGAATTTTACATATTTATAACAATTACATAATATATAGTACAATGACAATCTTCATCGTTCAAAATTACCGGAAAAATCGTAGTCAAAGAAAATATTGTCATTAATTTTTCGGTACTACTGCTAGTTTGTCACAATCTTATAGCACTAAGTTTTCGTTATATGGGAAATTTATGAAAAGAACCCTAGACATCTTATAGCACTAAGCTCTCGTTATGTGGGAAATTTATAAAAAGAGCTCTGAACCACAAAGTCTATCTTTACAAGATATTGTTTTCACAATTCGAATCTATGACCTCCTTAGTCACCTAATAACAAATCTACCAATTGCGTCAATATTTCCTTTAGTTTGCAACAATATTTGTGCGAATATAATAAAAAAAACAAAAACAAGTAGAGAATAATACATGTATTAACAAACACCAAATGAACATTGTATTAACCATAAACCACTGCCAAAGCACCACTGTCACTTTATTTGAAATTGCAACTGAAAAGAAAAATACTCCTACTTAAAGTATACAATATAAACACTACGAAATTATTCAAAACAATTACACTTACTAATAATTAATTAACATCGATTAATTCGATCTTTAATTAATTTAACTCCGGCAACGAGTAATAGCACTGCAACCACGTGTATACGGATTAGCTTCAGCACCTGTTTTGCAGTTATAATACGACGCACCTCTTCTAGAACACGGAACACTGTTACTCTGCAGCGCACCATAGCTTATATAATCAGTAGTTGCTAATATACGCCTGTTGCTCTCCGAATCCATTTCGAATTCTCCGGCAGCCATACACTCCGCTATCGAACCTTCACAGCTATCGGCGGATTTCATCGGAATCCAACCGCTCACGTCGAAATCGCCGCCGGTAGCATCGCCGGAGATGATCAAAGCTGCGATCAATAATGAAGAGATGATGAAAATGGAACAAAAGGAATTCGCAGCCATTGTTGATAAATTTTTCAATGCTGATCGGTGCGTTATCTTCCTTCTCTCTTACTCATATATATATATATATATATCAATAGAGAGATACAACAACTTGATTTTTTTTTTTATTTTTGTATGTTCTAACTACTACTACTGGTGCTGCCATATTCCCACTGTAATTTAAATTTTCCAACACATTAAAATTCCATTAAATTTAAATTATATAATATTAAATATTATTAATGATATTTTTTTATATATAAAATCTTTGATTAAAAGTGAAATACTCAGCGCACAATTCATATTTTTGATATATTCTTACTTATTAAATATCGTTAATAATATTTTTATATATATAAAATCTCTGATTAAGAGCGAAACAATCGCACGCAACCCATGTTGTTGGTATATTCTTACTGTTTTTAGCACCACGACAATATGGCGGGATTAGGAATAGTACTATATTTTTGGCCTTTCTCGTGAAATGGTGTCCATGTTGCCTGTATTTACCAAAGTGCCATTCTCAAAATATAAATAACATGTACAAAATATATTTGACTCGTAGCCTATTTGAATTGATTTAAAAGTTTATCAAATCAATTTTTAAGTCATTTTTTAATTATTAAGAGCGTTAGATAAAATTATAAATAACTTAAAATTAATTTAAAATGACTTTTAAAAAGTTAAAAATGAAAAGTAGGCCTTTTCATACTTTTTATTTTTTGATTTACAAGTTGTTTAAGTTAGAATTTTATTTTATTTTTAACTTAAAAATTATTTTATTTTTATTTATTTATTACTTAAAAGCTATTTTTTAAAGTCAATCCAAATAAGCTCTCCGTATATTTTAAACATCAAGTGTGGTCGGTACTTGGTAGGATGAAAATTATTTTTTAGAGTAATAAACATTTTGTATACTATAATATAGATATATATTGCGGAAAAGGCAATGATAAAGTCGCGAAACTTAATTAAAGATATTTAAAATTTAATATATATAAAAGTAATTTTCAACTTGTATATTTTATATAATTTTTCTATGTGAAACTAATTTTCCTTGGTATATAATTATGTGGGAAGGATTTAAGTGTAAAGTTGAGATTTTATAGTGGGAAAATAGTTAATAGTTGTGATCCAAAGGATTCATCATTGTCGTTATAATCCCAACATTCTCGAAAACTATTTCACCATATGAAGGCACATGATGTTACCACTTGTATCAATAACGTAACGTGTTGCTAATTACAATAATAAGAAATCCAAGAATAAAGGTATATAAGGTCTCACTTAAATTTTTTTTATAGAAAATCATGTCTTCTATGTAATTTTATTATATTAATAGTGTTCAGATCATTTTGTGTGCATCTCGATTATTTGAATAATGTATATTCTGAGCATCTAGTATATACATTAAATATGAACAATTTCTTTTTTTATATTAAAACTTAGTTTCATTATAATTTGAAAAATAAAATATAATGAAATTTAGGGGAAAGTAGAGTTTATTATTAGAAGTATATGGTCATATTGATTTAGTAAAAGAGTTTAGTTGTCCTAATCTTAGACCTAATCATAATATAAAATGATAGTGGACGTAAGGCAAATCAAGTATTATTATGGTCGGAGAAGAAATAATATTAATTTCAATGGATATAATAATAATAATAATATGATATTAAATTCAAATGAAAAATGAAGCTTCTTTGGTAATGGGTTTCGTTTATTTACCAGTTCAAACGCGTTACTCATTGCTGTTGGAAAGTTCAAGTCATCATCAAAATAGATGAACCTTTCAAAACCTACCAAAGAAAATGATGTCAATTATTATATTATTATTATAATAGGCAACTTAATTAATTATGTTTTCTTTGTTATCTTAATATCTTTTTTCATACTTAATCTTTAGCAAATTGTTTCGTTTTTATTCTTTATTATATATGTAGCTCCAATGCAAAATGGATATACTCCATGTGTTTAAATTTATTTTATTTTTTTTAAAAAAAAAAAAACTTCAACTCAACGAGAATTGATTTTGTAATTCACTCGCATATTTTTTTCTCTGAGAGATTTTCTTTTTTGTACAAACATTTTAGGAAAAAAAAAAACTTTTCACTTTTTCAAATAGTGAGAGTAATATTAGGCCAAAAATCAAAGAGAAGGCAAAATTGCTTAATATTGGTTTTCTCAGTAATAAATTTTTTCAATTTGTCTTAGTTTTAGTGGACAGAGTTAACTGATATTTATTTATAGCGGAATGTGATAGATATTCCGTAAAATTAATCAAGGTACGAGAAAGCTAATCCAAAAAGAAAAACATTGTATTATTTATAGAGTCCAAACAATTTTTTCACCGACTTCAAACATGTTCTAAATAATGTTATGGTTAATAGTAGTATATAGGGCTATGTATCGATTGGTTCGATTTGATTTTAAAGTCTATCGAATTGGCTTATTGATTATCAGTTTGTAGAGATGCTAAACCGTGATAGAACCATTAAGATATTGAGTTATCAGTTTTTTATCGTTATCGGTTCGGCTATCGATTTAATCGTTAAGATTTGACACAAACAAAAAAATATTAAAAATCACTTAGAAACAAGGTGACAAACCAAATAAACCATGTACTTGAGTTCACAAGTTACATCTCGCTCAAAAGCAAACACTTTCACATTGTAGAATAATCAAGTGTTTGAGACAATTAAAAATAAAAGTAGGAAATTAAACTCTAAGTCGAGAACTTTATATACAAAATGGTATAAATATAATTATTTAATTTACTATCGAGTTATCGATTAACCCGTTAAGAAAAAACTTTAAACCGTTAAGAACCGATAACCCGATAACAAAAAAAAATCAAAACCGTTATCAAAACCACTAAACCAATAACCCAATACTATAAATCAATAACTTTTTTATCAGTTCGACTTATCGGTTTCAATTCAATTTTGAACGGCCCTAGTAGTATAGTACTTTTTATATAGGCTTAAAATATGTCAAATGTTACATAAGCAAAAATAAGAAATTAACACCATGGTTGCTCTTTAGAATAAAGTCCCGGGAGAAATACTAGAAATAAAATATGTCTAGGTGCCTTGTACAATAGTAAATCATTACATTTATTCTCGAGATTTTAAAATATTCATAATCTAATACTAAAAATTACACAAATATTTGAGTACTGAATTTTTTTTTTTAAATAAATGCATCAAGCAGAGTGACCGTGCAGGCAAAGGAAGGACTCAAATTTTAAAAGGAATAGAATAATGCACAATCATCTTGGTCTCTTCGACCAAGACAGTTCAACCAAGACGGTTCGACAAAATTTAGTAATTTTGATTTCAAGCAATTTATTAATACGTATAGATTATTAATTTAGAATTCGATAACACTCAAAAAAGACTAAAATTTAATATACATGAACTTCAAATCATGGTCTGCCTTCACCTTATACTGTAGTTTAATATGAAAAAGTCTTCCTGGCAAAGTTATTGGTATTTTTTTATTGGAGTAGGTTCAGAATATCTTTCTTGTTGGAACCATTCCAGCTTATATAGTTTCTTATTTTCTCGTTTTTTAATAAAAAAGACTTAGGTTAATATTAAAACAGATCGATGTACTAACAAATTATAAACTAAAACTCAGTTTGAACGTCTGCAAATAAATAAATAATAATAATATTTCTCAAAGAAGTCAACTACATAGCAGAAATTACTTCCTAGCCCATTAGATATATTTTCTCTTGTTTTTTCCTTCTTTGTCCAGTTGATTGTCCCAACCTTCAATAAGGTAACAAAAACCAAGACTTCAAGCACAGGTGGATTCACTTGTATGCACTTGCGAAGCCAGAAATTTCACTAAGTATATTCAAGGTTTAATGTGTGTTTTTGTGTGAGTGAGATTGATAATTTGACCTATATATGCATG